CTGCATATGATGTGCTATTATTGATGACAACTTTATGTATTTTACCAAACTTCCCAAAATATTCTGGTCGTTTTAAAACCTATAAAAGAAGAAGAAATAAGGTATAAACTGTCCCCATTCTCATCAACTTTATCCTTATAATGGGGACACACACCATCCCTCTCCAGTGAAAAGAAAATAATTTTTAAAATTTCCAAATAAATGTGACTACATCCTAATTACAATCTGTGTGGTTAGCTTACAGGAAATCATCACAAAATCTAAAACGTGTTTTTTACTGACTTGCTGAGTAGAAACTGGGACTTACTAAGTCTGGTATTATCTACTATGTTCTAATACCTACACCAATAATCTATGGGAGCTTACCTTCACAGTATCCTTAAACACAAAACAGATCAAATATTCTAACCGTATTTTCATTATTAGGCGATCGTTATAAGAAAGTGATTCTCAAAACAATGACCAATACTATATATTAAACAGAAATAGAAACTCACGAACAGACACAAGACAATCTTTACTCGTAAATGCATTGTATGTAATATTTTATATACTATATTGAATATTGTTTATAAGCGACAAATTCCAAACAAGGTAACAACATGTTCTTCAACCTTACATGCTTTATGATTTATTATTCCGTGTGTGTTTCCTTATGTCAATAAATTTTACCATTTCTCAACTGTCTTTTGTTTTTTTCTCTTTTCCTGATAATTAACTAATGGAGGTGACAGATTAAAAAATACTGGGGAAACAAATTTATACATTTTTTTCTCTATTACCTGGTTACTTTTTCATGGTTATTTCCCCTCATACTTGTCTCCTTTACTTTGTGATCACTATAGGCATTCATTTAGCTTCCCTTACAAACTTACTTAACCTTGGCTAATTTAACCAGTATGTAATCTGATAGAAAAATCTCTCATATGATTTGCAACTATTTCAAAATCAAACTTTTGTTCTTTTCCTAGAATAAAGTAAAGACCCGCTCTTCCTACTATTTCTCCAAACAGCAAACTCTCTCTCAATGAAAGCTTTCTGCATATACCTGTTCAAGTGCATGCAAAGTATTCTTTCCAAACACACTTATTTGATAATACTCTCGCATTTTTACAACTTAGCTAGTATGTTCTGCATCTGACAGAACCAGAGCTTTGTGAAACAGTCTATGGTTGTGGTGTCATTAATTCATAACAGTTTTCAACTTAATTAATATAATTACTCTTATTTGATTATAGGTTTTTATAAGTATAGGTTTGTTATGTTTTCTATAGCCAATTCTACTGGATTAGAAGGTAAAGTGATTACACTGGTTTTCAATCTTTTTCCCACCCAAATCTCCTGAGTGGTATGAGGGTAAGAAAGGCAAGGGCAATGACTCTTGGGTTGTTCAGAGAAAAGTCTTGGGACTCAGGGGTAGGCAAGAGTATATTTTGAAGTTTTCTGGTTAGTGGAGTACAGAACTGCATTCAATATTCCAGCTGGATGCATACCAACTCAGCAAAAGGCCTCAGTCAAAATACTTCAAAGGATTCAGGCTGGTCACAAGTTGTGCTGCATCAGCACGTCATACCATATCTGAGTTTATGGCAGTAGTTCTCAATGAAGGCAGCATTCAAGGGAGCATTTTGGAAATCTATGGAAGCTTTTACTAGGGGAGCTTGTCAAAGTGACTGGAAGACACTACTGGTGTTCAGTGAATGGAAGCAAGGAATGACTTACAACACTCAGGCTAGCCTTGTACAACAAAAATTGTCCTGCACAACTTCTGAATGTTCTACAGGACATTCATGTAGCTGAGAAGTCTGTTTATAATTAAGTGAACCTAGAAAAAATAATTCCACATTATATGTAAATATAAAGTAGTTCCCCACAGTTTTGACATGTTGAATTTACAGGAAAACAAATAGTATGTAATTAAGGGACAACTACAAGTGCTTTGTTTGGAATTTTACTAAGAGCTGCTTCAGAAAAATCACATCACTGGCATTTTATGGCACCTGAGTTGCCAAAACATGCACCTGTAACAATCTGCATCTGTAGTTGTCATAATCACACTGGTTCTAGAGATGTCAGAATCTATTTTATTATATACTGAAAAAAAAGTACTTGGCAAACATATATGCATATAAATCATTTGAGGATCTAGTTAAAATACATACTCTCAAACCCTGAAGGTCTGTATAGTAAGCTCCTGGATGATACTAATGCTACCAATGGAGACAGATTACATTATCAAGAAGTCATTTCATGAAATTCGAAGGGTGTTATAAAATAATAGTTTTTAAATGTGGGTACTGGGTCTGAAAAGGTTGGAGACTGGCTTATGAAAATAAGTTCTGGCCAATATATGGGTATAACACTTGCAAAGCAACGTAAGATTTGTATGTAAATTACACTGAGCAGCCAGAATAATATTTTCAAAGTGCAAATTAGATTGCCATGTCGTTCTGTTCTTAAGAACAATCAATAGGTTCCCATTGCCTTTAGGATAAAGTACAAACTCCTTAGCATGGTTAGAAAGCCTTTCATCATCTGTTACCACTTACCTCGCCAGCCTCATCTCTCACCATTTCACTCTAATCTTCCAGCCAAACAGATCACTTGCACATCAAGCTCTTTCTCATCCAGAAGCACCTGTATAATTCCTGTGCCAAAAGCACTTTACCTCAAAGATAGCAGGGAAGTACATACCTTCCTCTCAAGTACAGGTGCTATCTCTTGTGCCTCTATAGCACGCAGCACTCCTCATAGTGTACTGTTACTTTTGAAAGTAAACAGGGTCTACCTATTTATTGGTTTGTGTTCAATGTCTTACACAGTGCCTGGCACACTGTAGGTACTCAATAAATGCTTTTGAAAAATAAAACTGTCTTAGAATTGAACAACATGGATATAAAACATTGGTGGGCCTTAACGTATTAGCAAATAGCCTTATAAGAAATTGCCTGCCTAGACAAGGGAAATTCAAATAATTTGAACATTCTATATTAAGGTGAATACTCCAGATTCTATCTAAACATTAACAGTCAACTAGCAAAACAGTACTTTAGTAAATAATGAGTATGGTAGTAGGCAGCATACTCTGCATATCACCACATTACCCATATATTCAATGTCCTGTATTTACCGCACAGTGAGCCAGCTTTACTACTAACAGTACATAACAGGCCACGTGACAGAATTACAACTGCCCAATGGCATACCTAATGTGTAAACGATCTTCCTATATATTTTCTGGGAACACAGTTAAGTGTTTATGGACACTACACAGAAAATCGAAAACGTGGGAAACAGATGAAGGATGAATGGATAAATGGATGAATGGAGGAACCACAGACAGGTAACCAGTGTAAAATACATTGGAATAGGAATGCTAAGACTGGAAAGTTTTCTAGTCCTGGCTCTGCTATGAAATAGCTGTGTGATCCTAGCCAAGTCATTCAACTTCCCTGTGCCTCAGTTTCCCATTGGTTGTGTCTTTTAAAATCTTTCGCTTCCTCAAACAAGCTGCTCTCACATGCCATCACACACCTGGGACACTCTTGTCCTAATTCACAACCCAGCTAATCCCTAGTCATTTTTAATCATCTCTTCCTCAGGGAGGCTTTTCATGGATCTCTATACTAGCTAATTCCTGACTGTTAAATGTTCTCAAAAAGCCCTGTACTTCCCTGTTTATAAATGCTTGGCACACTTACAAGTACTTAATTCTGTCTGCTTCACTACCTGTAAGTTTGAAAGGGTAGAGACTATGTCTGGCTTGCTGAGCTACTTCATTGTCAACATCAAAGTACCTAACACATTGTAAGTATTCAAAGTTAATTTACAGAATAAATGAACTGGGTATCGACAAATACAAAATTTCAGGATTTAGAAGATGATTAATTCTAATCAATACCTCTAACTACCATAACTTCTAAGGTAGTTTTTTCTATTGAGCAATAAATGAATATATTTGACAATCTTGGTATAAAGATTTTGAGTGTACAAAAATTATTTTCAAAATAAGCTTTAAATTTTCCTGTTTTGTTAATCAGAATTCACTCAAATATCTAATTGTTCATCATCCAAAAATAAGCAAATCACAGAAACTTCTCTGACCCAAAAGTTACCCTAAGAACTTGAAACTTCAATTTTGCAATCGAAGCCAACTTTAAGTTTTCCAAATTGAAAAGATTATGCAATTGAACTAAGAAAAAATTTAAGGTATTATTTAGAAGTAGTAGTTTATTAAAACACTACTCTCTGATTTTCCTAAGCTTTCAAGAGAAATAAATGAGAGGAACCAATGTTTAAAAAAATTCATTGTCCTCTCACCAAGCAATAATGATTTCAAAAGTATAAAACTAGTAGAGTGATTTTTTTAAGGTATATTTAGATTCATGATAAAGTGCTCTCTCTCAATAGTCACCCCATAGGTTAATTCCTTTCTCTGTAATATAGTTCTTCAGATTAACCTTACTGGAGTCATGTTATTTGAAGTGAAAATAAGAAATCTCTGTACATAAGTAAAAATGAATCACAGACTCTAAAGAAGGGGTAGGATACCTATAACCCAAACATCAAATTGAGACTACGGCTTCATTTTATCTAGCCTTTGGGTGCTGCTCCGTATGCCTCCAGTAATACTGCTGACCCAACCCAGGATATCCATATTCAAGAGTTGTTAAATTAAAATAAGAGTTCCATTCATTTACTAGAGTAGCAGTTTCAGAAATGCAGAAGTAGATTTTAATCAATAAGATTAGTAGGAATAAATAGAGGTAAGTAAAAAAAAAACTTGCAGAGGTAAGAAGTGCCCTCTGGTCAAAAAAAAGGCAGTGCTGAAAGGGGTAGACAGAAGAATTGGTACAAAGTTGTGCTGTTCAAGAATGAAGTGGCATTCTGCCCATCTGGGGAGTTAAGTACCAGATTCAGTAAAAGGGCTGCTAAGGTTCAGTCATAGGCCTAAAATGAGCTCTCTCCTTAATATCTCTTATAAAGAAGTCTTCTCCCATATGAACTCTAGATCCATCCCTTTGGCTTTGGAAAGAACCTGGTTTCTTTTTTTTTTTAACATTTTTTATTGATTTATAATCATTTTACAATGTTGTGTCAAATTCCAGTGTTCAGCACAATTTTTCAGTCATTCATGGACATATACACACTCATTGTCACATTTTTTTCTCTGTGATTTATCATAACATTTTGTGTATATTTCCCTGTGGAGAACCTGGTTTCTAGAAGATCATGTAGCCCACTAATGCCAGCATCCCTGGACTTAGGTAATTCTTGAGCTGCCTCAACGTTTATTACCGATGATAGAGACGTCTTAGAATGGTCTCCCTGATTTTCTTCTCTACTGATCTTGAGGCCCTTCACAGCCTCAATACATAGCAAACTCATCAGCAATAACTTTTTTTTATTCTTTCTGAATTGATATTTTTAAGCTCTTTAAATTTCCTCCTCCTGGGGCCTTTAGCCCACTTAGGCAAGTCCAAAGATTCCTACCTCCCTAAGCATATTCACTATAATCCTCCCTCTGATTGGTACCATCATGAGGTACCATTACTTCAAACCCTTCTCAAACAGTACTTTTGGCAGATCCCCCAAATCCACACTCTCCTACTGAAGTAAACATCTGGTTGTCTATCAGCTTCTACCTGCCTTCCCACCAATCTTATCAGCACCTCCTGGTATATCAGAAACTAAAATTAGAGATGTTCATCCAAAGACATCAGGGAAAATTATGAGTTCAACATTATTCTAATAAGGCTGGTGGAGGAAGGAGAAAAAAGAATTAAGTAATAAACAAAAGGGTTAAGATATCCCCTGCTTCCAAACAGATGACAAAGAACCTGGTCCATTATTTCCTTTCATCACATTCTCCCTCTTTCCTCAAAACTGGCTTAAAATGAATGAGTAAAGAATAATGATACAGGATAGCAGCACTTCTATCATTGTTCTATAACTAAGAATTACTACTACTCAGCATTATTAAAAACAAAACAAAACAAAACAAAGCAGATCTCTAGTGAGTTCATAAAACTGCATCTCCACTGTTGGTTCTTATATGGCTACAGAAGAGAGGAAGAAACATAGTCATGTCAAATTAGCCTTAACAGCAAAATAGAACCATTATCCAACTTTCACAGACTATTAGCACTAAAAAGGACTTTAGAGATCTAGTTCACCTGCTAGTTTTACAACTGGAGAAAATGAGCAAAGGAAGATTAAGACACTTGCCTAAGATCACAACTGATCACTGGTTTCTTAGTAATTATTAAAAAATAATTTCCCATTTTCTAAGTTTTAATATTTTCAGGTGAATCCTATAGCTGGGCAAGATACGCTGTTATTTCCAAATAAGCTGTTATCTCCAAGTTGAGAAAGAAAAGAAAAGAGGACTTACCTCTGGGTCTGCTAGGCGCTGAGAAAGACCTACAACAAAGACGAGGTTTTTTTGTACAACACGTACACTAGCCAAATGTTTGCGATTTTCTGATATTTTCTGTTTTCTCTCATTTTGTTTCTGTTTTTTCTCATTCTTTATCCTTTGCAGTTCTTCCTGGGAGAGTGGTTTATAAACTGCTGGGTCTTCTGGATATGGCTTTAGGCATAAAATAAACATGGAAGTTATTAGCATCAAATAAACAGAAAATTGTATAAATGAACAACAGTTATCAAATTCTGGACGATGGGTATGCAGTTATTTGTTTCATCTCCCCTTTTCTGAATCTTCTAATTGCTTAAAACACTTTTTATTTAATAAAAGTTAAATGCTAAGTAAAATTGTTTTAAAAACAACTAGTTTTCAGAGCTTAGCACAGGTCACTTTTAGTGCTGAAACTTAAAAGATCACCAACAGTTCTAAAATCTAAAACAACAACAACAACAACAAAACCATCCTGGTGTTCCTTACAATGCCTGGCACATAGTTTACAGGAAAATTAAGCTTTCAAGGTCCTGTGTAAGAGGCCAAAAGTCTAAATCCCCTCATCTAAATACAGGTTTATGTATTACAATCAATAAATATTTAATGAAAACCTACTATATGTTTGAAGATTAATGAAGTGCTTGTTCTTTAACATATTCCCAGTGTAAGAAGGACACAGATGGGCAAATAAACAATAATACACAGATACTCTGGCTCAGGAGTTTGAATTTAGTCTCAGCACCTTTAGCCATGTGGCCTTAGGCAAGTCAATTAAACTCATGCATCAGTATCCTCATAAGTAAAATGAAAATAATCTTAAAGGCTGGTGTAAAGATAAAATAACACTATAAAGCGATTATTATTACAACACAGTAATCCTTCAGTAAATACTAGCAATTACACTGATGAAATGTCTTCCTCTCTCATCATTTCAATACTGATTTCACTGCTACTGCTAATACCAAAGCTACTGGTGGCCTGAATAAGAACTGTGGGTCACACTGCCTGGCTTCGTATCTTGGCTCATTCTTTACTAAGAGACCTGAGCTAAGTTTTGTAATCTGCCTCAGTTTTCTCTTCTGTAGCATGGGAATCACAGTACTTTATTCAGAGGGTTTCTGTGAGAATTTAAAAAGACAACACACTTATTAAGTGATTAAAACTGTCCTGCACATAAACAAACAATAAGTCAGTTATTATTACAGCTGGCCCTCCATATCTGTGGTTCCACATCCTCAGATTCAACCACCTGTGGATTGAAAATATTGATGGGGGAATTCTAGAAAGTTCCAAAAACCAAAACTTGAATTTGTCATGAGCCCAACAACTGTTGACATAGCATTTCATACATCATTTAAATTGTATTAGATATATACATAATCTAGAGATGATTTAAAATATATGGGAGGGCACGCATAGGTTGTATACAAATACACCATTTCACATGAGGGACAAGCATCCATGGATTTTAGTATGGGGAAATGGAGTGGGGAGGGGGAGTTCCTGGAAACAATCCCCAGAGATACTGAGGAACAACTGTACTACTAATCTAAAAAAAACAAGTTAATAATAAATGGAAGATGGAACACACTAAATATAGTAATATCTAAAGCTGAATATGAAGAGATCCCAGAGATAGGAAATTGTGCCTATCAGAATACCAGAAGTGGGGACTAACAGAAACAACGGCATCAGGAAAAAAACTGGAACAAGGAAAGTGAAGGCAGTGAACACAAGTCTGTAACCCTGCATGCCTTTAACATAAAGTTACTTTCATAGACAAGTAGAAAAACCAAACAGATAAAAACCCTCAAATTTGTAAGCACACTCTGATTAATGCTGAAGGCAATTAAGAAAGTTGAAATTTCCCTTTATAGCCCTCAACTTCTACTAGTAATAGGATAAAGTCTACAAAAACTCTGTTCTTAAATATTCAGGCATAACTTTTAGTGGTCCTGCAGGATGTAAGCACCCACACCACTGGATTCCCAAATTTAAAAATCTGAATCTTTTAGAAAATTGGTCCTATTTGTCATACTACAACCTATTTCTGAGTGGGAGGCATATAAAATAGTTGATTCAGTAACTTATCTGACTTTTAAATGGCCTGAGGGCTTTCTCCAGTATCAAATATAAAGTTTGTATCACACATTTTAGGAGCTCCATAAATTCTTGCCACATGAGTATCAAGCTACTCTCTAGAATTGGAAATTTAGCATAATAATTTTTTAAACCCTTATTTCAAAATGTTCTTGCATTTTAATTTAGTAACCAAATGGTTCAAGATCTATTACAATGAATTCAATTATTCAATGAATGATGTAACCTTCTCCCACTTACATTTTTTCTCTCTCTTCTCCATTCTCCCTTCTGTACCTGTATTATCTCATTTCAAATCTTAATCTGTATGCCTGGATGATTTTAATCCCATGAAGTCATTTAAAGCTACAAAGGCACAAGTATAAAAATGAACTACACATAAACCAATTAAAATAGTTTTTCATAAGGTCACTTAAATTTTTCATTTGCATATGGAAAAGCTACTTTTTACTACACAATTTCTGGGTAGTTCCTTTTGGAGTGTTTACCATTAAGTTCACTTGAAAGCTGTTGCCCCTCACTAACAACTATAGTGGTGATAATCCACTCTCTGAATGGATCAAACTTATAGATTGTTACTAGTTTCACCTCAATGTCTGGTCCACATACTGTGCTTCACCAGTCCATGGTAAGAAAAGCACAAAAATTGAGAGAAAGCATTTGGACATTCTTATAGCAACTTAACATTGCCACAATATTCAGGTATGTCATCAGTGGACTCTGCAGAATAAGATATTTATCAGTGTGGTTGTTATTGAACTTAGGGGGTAAATCATATGACACATAGGACCAGTACCCAACAGACTTGGGAGTGGGGGGGCACGAGTAGGATACAAATAAGGTTCTGCATCAGAGACAGTTTAAGAAACATTTGTGTAACTTTTCTGAGAACATGAAGGATTTGACAAGCACTCAGGTTTCTTCTTTGCTAACAATCCCTAACGTAAAATCTTGATAAAAGATGATGCAAAGTAAGGTAAAAGCAAAATTAAAAAAAAAAAAAAGCACAAATACACCAAAAAAAGATGAAGAATGATAATTACCAAAATTCAAGTTGCAGTATCATTTCTCATGAAGTGTATTATTGATGCACCATCATGTTGAGTATGTAACACTGGTTAGCCTAGTCTTTTTCTATGTTATTTCAACTTTTTCTATGGAAATATACTTTCATCAGGCTTTCAAGTCAACTCTATTGGAATACAACTGCTACATAATGCGAAAGATATCAATACAGGAGAACAACAAATTACTATGATTTACCCTCCAAGTATCTCTTATTTCAGCAACTTAAAGGAAGTTATAAATATTAGCTTTTTAATCTTAATGTATCTGTGAAGCCACATCTCCACTGTCAGAAGAATTAAATAAATTTTCTAGACAATGCAACTTTGAAATTTAATCTAAACACAAGTGACAAATATACAAAATCTTAAAGCCTTAATAGCCTTAATATGTCTAAAGATTTCATAGAAAGCTGGGAAAGCATGCATTCTATTCTGGCTCCTCCTCCACACACACACACCATCATAGATACCTACTCTAGAAACCTAATAACAGAACATGAGCTGTTACAATAAAATGAGGAAAGAAGGTAGATTAAAAATGGGAGATGAAAACACATAATTTGAATAACTGCAGAAAGAGAGTGTGACCCACAAAACTAGTATTAGCAGTACTAAAAATGAATATATAGAAAAATATATCTGGTCTACTTTTTGACTGAAACACGTAAGTTAAACTGAATTTTCTAGGAATATAGCACTAAATAAAAATTACAAGCAAAAAATTTTTCTTTAAAGGCACTATTGTGTGTTATAAACTAATGCTAAATAGAACACCTGTGGAGAAGCACTTTCAATGTGTAAAATATTTTTAATAGTGTTAATTTGGTGATAAATTGCCAAACTACTAATTAAGATGATTTGTAGTCTCTAGTATAATCACTCAATTCCTTTCACACGTGTAGTTATGTTCCCACTTTTACTTCTATGTATTTACAAGTGTCTTCTCTTTATTTTCTGACCAGACCACCAAGACTTTATTTCACTGGCCTTTTTAAAAAAACAGCTCTAAC